TGATCATGCCATCCCAAAAGGCAGATCAAAGGAATCCTGCTAACATCGTATCTAGTCCAGAAGGAGTCAGAGATTGATGACGAGGCTGGAGCATGTTCTTGTAACTGAATACAATGAATTCTACAAACAAAAAAAATGAAATTGTTCTTAAAGTGAAACAAGTCTTGACCAAGCTCACCATAACTGCTTACCATTCACCCTGCCTTGCAAGAAGACTCACTATCCAACATGAGCCACTTGACATAGACCATAGGACACTTGGGAACAGGCCTGCTCATCGCTGACAGTGCCTAGTCTGGCATGCAAAGATGTTGTGTGTGCTGCTGACACATCCATTTTAGATAATTGTTCACTTCAGGCCCTACAGACTGGCTTTCATCAATCTGTGTAATTTAATGGCTGGAATGTCTTGTTAAATGCACAGAAATTGATACAAGAACCATGTAACTGGAGGAAAAAAAATCTAAATATTAAATAGACAAACTGTTATTCAAGTGACTGAATTCTAGAGAGACTTCTAACTGCTCTTACAATTGGAGCACACTCTGCCTATTGCCAACAAATTTTACTGGAAAGAATTTTATAATTGGGCAGTAGGATTTTTATAGCAGTACTTGCTTATGCTAGCTTAGCAAAAGTCTGTCACTGCCTGTTAGGAACCCAGTTTTTAAAGGGCCACAGGTGCACCATGTCTTTATTGTTCCTAAGTATGCCCATTTTAAGGTCCTAATAATTCCACTTCATGAAGAGCACTGATGCTCTACAGTGATGCAGCCTCTGCCTCAGGTTGCCCTTTAAACAAGAGGTGGATGCACAAGCAGCCACTGAGGAATTTATTCATGTGGGGTAAGGTACTATGCAACAACTTAGATAGGTATGTGAGGTTTTTGTTTGTTTGTAGCTAAGTACTTCCTTTTAAGTTCTACAATCATCATGTTCCTGTCATTCTTATCTAGTAAATTTTTAGAGGGGGTTAAGTACAAAATATATTTTAGTTTCCTGTATTATGTGCTGCCAACGCATTTCAGTATAAAAATGGGTTTAAGTCTACTTACAGCTGTCGCATACCCTAACAGAGCTACTCAAGTGAGCTCCATTACTGTAACTTTTAAAGGCACAAGCCTCATCCAATTCTGCCCACAGAACGACAAGACAACTTGTTCACTTAAAAGCAGAGGGAAGCAGAGATCTTTTACTGTTTTTTGCTTTTCACAGTGTGGCACATACAAGCACTTTAGACGTGCTGATCTGTGCAAAACACATGCATAGGAATAAGCAGCAGAAGCAAGGAAAATATGAAAAAAAAATCTGTGATTTCAAATGCAATCAATCAGGTGGTGTTCTAATAATATAAATGATAAAATTTCAAATGGCTCTTTATCACAGCTAAAAAGCATCTTAATTTACCATAAAGCATATATAGCGTGGAGGGAGAAAAGAATGCATTTAACTTTCTTACACAGTACAAAACTGTCACACGGTGATATAAATTGTGCACTCCCAAACCCTTTCAGTTCACACTGCCATGGTTCACTCGTGAGGCCATACTCCATGTAATTATCAGCCAAAATGAATCAGTAAACTGTTCCTGATGGAATAATATCTTGCCTTCAGCATTTTTCTTGTAAGCTCTAGACTTTCTACTTAGATTTATTTACTCTGACAATGCTGTTCAGTCACTATTTAGTGCAGTTAGGTATTAGCAATGCAGAAGAGCTGAAAACTGTTTTTCTAACAGTTTGCTTTACACAGAAGTCTGGGCACAGTTTTTTAAACATTAGTTGATACTATTCAAAAGAAACACAGGGTGTCATGGAGGTCAAGCCCTTACTAACTTGACTAACTAACTTCCCTCGGATTTCCATCCCAAGTAAGAAGAAGCTTTCCAGATCTGAGCTAGTTTTTTTTCTAAATGCTCATCTCGAGTTCTCTTGAACATTGATTCACAGCTGTCACTAAACGTGCTTTGTATATGTGGCCAAAGAACTCTAATAACTGTTTATATCTCAAACACTTGCAGGTGCACACAGACTTTCTGGGATAGTTTGTTGCTTTCCTCCATCAACAAAAGATTAACTGCTCAATTCTCTTGAAATGCACTACATGTGACAGCCCAAAAGTTTCACAGCTAAGAGTCCATTGAAACAAATATAGTAGACATTACAAACAAATCATTCGTGCTCAATAGTTTTGTAGTTTTGCTTAAGTGCTTTAATTGAAGGTTTTAGAAACAGTGTATTTTTAATAAAGTATGTTCAGTGTCAATGGAGAATTTCACAACTGCTCCTTTGAACATACTTTGAGCACTACTTCAGTATATTTGTGATGTAGGTATTTAGTTTTCATCTATTTTGAAATTATTTTTCCCTCTTGGGACACAGTGTCTCTTTAAGCCTCTATTATCTAGCTAATTTTAAACCATAAGGATTTATAATTGCAGATAAATGGAAAATAAGCTATTTGGTGTTTGATTAAATCTTTCTTACCAACTTCATAATGAAATGAGAATGAATGACCATTTAGAAAGCCTTTGATGAATATTGAGTTAAAAGTGAGTTTCAGTGTATCAGTCAAACACATTAATATAGCCACCATATGCACATTTAAAAAAAATAAAATCACCTATGGATACCTCCATCTATGTCCAATAGTAAAACAAGGATTCTGACAGTGTCTCATTGCCTTACATCTTCCAACACATAGAGCTAACATGTTTTTTGTTTTTTTTTGTTTGTTTTTTTGTTTGTTTGTTTTTTCTGGAAGAGACAGGAGGACCTCAAAAGCCTCGGCAGCTAGACGAAACTCCAGTTAGATGAAATGATTTTCAGGAAGCTGGAAATGGTGCTCAAAGATCCAAAAGCCCCAGGACCATTAAATCAGTATCTCTACTTGTTTTAATTTGATTATTTATCCCAACTAAAGAAACTGATGCGGGTAAGACTGAAATCAGCTGATGCCTGTGATAGAAAATCTTAAGTTCTGACCTATCAGAAAGGCATGACTTCAGTCTTACCTCCATTTTCTTGTGCTTGACATTACCTTACTCATGCTCTTTTGTTTATCAGCGAAAATATTTTGCATGGGCTGAATAGTCTTATCACGTAGTCTTTTTAAGGACAGGGATACAGAATAAGCTGAGTGTTGAAATGCCTCTTCAAACTGCAGTCTGCTAAATAAAACCCTAAACAGTTCAGCCACAACTTATAGGAGCAGTTCATGTGTAAAAGCTCAAGAATGGTTCCCTTTAAATGTGCTTTTTCTATGCAATTTCTGTCAGCAAAGTAGGCTTGTTTTCTCCCTGCCAGAGCTAAACTTCTCTTTTAAAAACAAAATTGATACCATTATGTGCATTTCTGATTTCTATACAGCTGTGATAAGCACAAATTTTGGTTTTTATTGGATAAGATTTTCACAAGCACCAAAAGAACTTAGAGTGGGGTTTATGCAAACCCTCTCTGTAAAACCTTATCAGGTAAGGTTCCCCCACTCTATCCACAAAAAAAAAAATAAAAAAAGCAAAGATGCTTGAAAGCTCTGGGGAGGTGTAACGGAGGCAGACTTACATTTCTTTTAGCTGGAGCCCACCCCAAAATATCTTTTTTTTTTTTGGTCAAGAATGGGGGATAATGGGACAACTGACAGGACCTTCTGCAAATCTTCCACATATTTTAATTACAGAATCCTTACGTTGAGATCTTAGTGAACCTCAAAACATCCTATGCCTGCTACTTCCTCAAGGAGAAAGAAGAGTGGAGAAACCTGATTGCTGGGAAGCGTCAAACCTGCAGGTTAGTGGCCCTCAGTGGAGAGGAAACTCCAAACCCAATTGCTTTCTTCATTTATCAAGTATTACCTTGACACTAACATTTTAAAATGCAGTATCCTTAGAAACTTAATGATCTAATTGAGACTAAATATTCCGCTGGTATGAATAAGACTACCTCTAATGGCTTCACTATTGCATCAGTTAGCACTACTGAGGAAAAAAGAAAAAGAAAAAAACAATTCTTAGTCTTGAAAATAGCACAGAATGAGATTTTAAAAAGGAGTACCACATGCGGTGTACTGTGTTTTCAGGAAAATAAATGACAGCGCATGAAAAGGTTGGCTGTGTCTCTTTAGACTGTGCAAGAAAGCTCCTGAAATCGTGTTTACTCTGAGCAAAAAGAAAGTAAAACAGTTGTTTCACTATGCCATTAACCTCCCAAAAAAAAAAATCCAAGCTTTTTAAGGAAAGTGACAAACTCATGGCTGCATAATATCCTGTATGTGAGCAGTATCCTCTATTTTTTAAAAAAAGAAAGGAGGAATTGGAAAAGAAAAATAAATTGAGATCTCTCTTAGGAAAAAAAGGATTTCTTTTTTGCTTTTTTACAAGCTTATTGTCAAAAGTGAAGTCAGATTTTTCTCTGGTACTGTTTAAAGCAGCTTTTATGCATATGAGTTGATATGATAAACTATATGCAGCAGCAGCAACACTCAAACCCCTTCATTAAGCATACAGCCTTTAGTTGGAGATGAGGCAAATAAATTAGGTCTTCCCAAAAGTGTCATCCTGACTAAAAGACTGACTACTTGCTGGAAAAACAAGCTAAAGCTGAGGCTAAGGTTAGCATTTAGAATACTTTCCTCTGTACAAAGATTTGTGAAATATACACATGTCACACATTCCTAAGGCTTTTAACTAATTGTTCTCAACTCTCCTGGAGTAAGTCTCATTTTGTTCAGACTAAGCAAGCATTCCTCAGCACATCCTCCTCAAACTCAGTGCACTTAATTGAGCTTGGATTTATCAAACTTCACACAAAGTCTGAACGTGAATAATTGTAGGAGTGGCAGGCAATGTTGATTTATGGAATGTTATCTCTAAGATAAGGAGAAGAACATCATATATTGGAATCACACATGCAGAAATGAATTCTACCTGGAAAAGGGTAACGAAGCGTATAAGCGTATTCTACAATTTTGAATAAGTCTTCAGCTTTTTGCCTGATACTCACAGAATTAATTATTCCTTTAAGTGCTTGGAATCCTCCGGTGACAGGGAAGACTTGTTCTTTTGTATCAGCAATTTTTTCAAGCTTTGGAAAGAAAGCACATGCATGCATATGAATTGTTTGGCAAATGAAAATTGGTACACTGTTTTACAGCCTTAAAATGTAAAAGGATATCTAAAAATAACTTGGCAAGAGAAGGAAAATTTTAAGTCCCCCAGTCCATAACTGAAGAGGCTGTTTATGATTTTTCTAAATGATTTTTCTGAAGTAGACTTACTACAGTCTACTGCCACTAACAGAATGTTTCACTGGCTATCCACCATGCCAAACACAACTACCCAAAGGAAGCATTTTAGGGTCTGTAGCTCAGCAATAATTTTACATCTCTTTCTGATGTTATCTTCCCTGTTTGCTCAGCACTCAGTTAAAAGGTTTTTCTGTCTATCTTCTACACTAACACACCTTCTATATGCTTCTCCATTTAAGGCACATTTATAGCACAGGAGTATCTATACTGATGATTAAAACACCGCTTTGCTAGGGCACAGAAACTCCAGAAGAGCTTTGAGTTGACTAATGGTATTGATACTTCTTTTTCTTATGCCAAGTCTGTTATCAATTTTGTTCGAGGTTTGTCTGTAGCTACTCTGTTAATGCAACCTGTAGTCTAATCTGGTCACCACTTTACTAGAAAGATCTATTCCTGTCCTTTCTTCCGCAGGCATCTGCAAGTTAGCAGGGCTATTTGCGACAGGTCTTTCCTGCAATAAAAGTGACACCCACACATTCTATTAATGTCTACGAACATAACTGAGTTCTTGCTTACTGAGCCACAGAAGGTATTATACTGCCTAAGGTAACCTAAATTAATTCCTCTGCTTAACAAAACGCTTATAAAGCTATGGAATAAGATATTGACTAGAAATTGGTAGACTAGAAAACAGTAACGTTCTTACCTGTTCTTGTACAAAATCAAGGACACCAACACAGTAAACTCGAGCCCCCAGCTCTCTGGATTTCTTTGCCTGCCCCAGAATAGAAAAGAGAATAAATTTTTTTGTTCAACAGGGAGCATGCACTCTTCAGAATACAATGTGCATTTTCAGGTAGTGCTTACCTCTTTCTCTGCATACAAGGGAATCTGACCATCGAGTTTGCCATCTGTCAATGCAATGATGATACTGGAAAACCTTGAGGCTCCTTGCTTCTCAATTTGCTCATTAGCCTAAGAGTGAAAAAATATTTATCCAGCTTAAATGTATATTCAAACTTGTAACCAAGATGCACAGTGTTTGAGGTGAGGGGGAAAAAACAACGTTACCTCATACTGAAACCCATCTCCTTGCTTCCTCTTTGCTAATTACTAACAAGGATATTATTCATCAGTAGTAGCAAGAGTTCAGGCAAGGCAAGTATCTAGACTGGATAAGGATTATGATGAATATTTTGAAGTCAGTAGTGAGCCCATCTCCAAAGTGTTGGGTTCAATGACTGAGGAACTTTGGAAAAGCTTCATTCTTTCAGGATGGGTACTCTGTGGGCTTTGAAGCTCACATCTCTTTAAATGCACAATAACGTTTCCTTTGGTATCCTCAGATTTTCAATGCTAGCCAAATGGTTCTGTTTGCTTCTTTAGTATACAACCACAATTACAAATTTGCCTCTACCACCATAAAGGAAGAAAATCATTTTCTATCTGTAACAGTGAAAGCTTAGGTGCTCATCTCATTCTTTACCTTCACATCCTAAATTTTAGCAGAATGATAAAGTATAATTTTATTGCACACCTCATTAAAATATAAGCAATTGGGAGCTCTATAATTAAGACATCCCAAACTTAAGGCCAGATGTGCTGAAAATGCTGGTTTGCACAATTAACTACGAACCCATTCTGTAGAAGGTACAGATATGCTCACAGCCCTACAAAGCTCTGTGTGACTATTTACCCTAAGTGGCAAGCTGTATGAGTTTGATCTATGACAAAGAACCACTCCCTATTGCAAATGTGCCAAGTTTTGGTGATGGCTATCTCCTGCTTGGTATCTGTTCAATAGCTGGACAGTCTTGGGGAGCACATTAATTAAGGATCAGAATTAATTAAGAATCAGAAGAGAGCAATGAGATGTGTAAAACCTACCTGTTTTAACCCTTCATGAATATATGTGTCACCTGCTGGTTTTACCTCTTCTAAATCCTTAAGACCTTTCTTGATTTTCTCTCTGAAATCAGTAAGATAGAAGATTTAGAATATCAGGAGGAGGAGGGAAGTGGATAGTTTATTGATGGAAAAAATGTATCTGTCATAAATGAGGCCCAAAATTAGAACCCACAAGATAAGCATTTAGCTGAGATACCACATGGAGGGAGATCTTACATTCACAACAAAGCAACACTGTGGGTAACGTATTTTAGACCTAACTAAGTACACTATGGCTTAGTGAGTCAAAAAGTTAGGTTAAAGTAAAAATCTTTCATATGAAGCGTATATTGCAAAGATGGCCCAACTCCAGGATTAAAACAGCTCAGTGGAAATACTGTTGAGTTTTTCTAAATTTACTAGGCTTCCTTAAACTGAGGTCACTTACAATCACACTGCAATTAAAAAGAAGTCCCCTAAAACAGCAGTTTCATGTTCTATATCAACATATTTAGTACATATAATTAACCATGTCAACATGCAGATATATAAACAGAGTAGTAGAGAACAGATGTAATTGATACCTAATCTAATTACAGCACAGTCAGTATGAGAGGAGAAAAAACAAAAATGAGAGATTATATTAAAAGAATCAAATGTAGAAGCTCTTAATTTTTATGCAAGTAAACTTCCAATAAAGACCATGAAAAGTTGCTCTAGGAAAGGACAAGTGAAATGTAAACAGAGACACAAAATTTGGGCTGGAATATATAGAGAAGTATAGTAAATACAGGTGACAATGAGGAAACAAGCAGGGATGAGGAGATGGATGGAAAATAGATCGCAAGATGCAAGTTAATTTTCCTTAGGGCAAACAAAACAAGAAAGAATGCATAAGCCACTGTGTCTGAATGCCACCCACAAGTCATTTGTTCCACTGATGGGGTTTCTCTATGTTTAGAAGCTCTGTTCCAAAAGCACAATCCATAGTCATAATGTTCAATTTGTAATAATCTCCTAAACAGAGGATAATTGCTACAATTAAAAAAAAAAAAAAAGTGCTGCATTAAATACATTGAAGAGAACAAGTTATGTAAGATAATACAATCTGTTTGATCTAAATATTTTACATTCAGCATCTATAGAAACAACTTGAAAGTGATTATGTATGAACGCAGATTATAAACCACATACTTAGTGCTTGCCAGGAATGAGTGGCAGCACATCACAGGCGTTAGGGTTCTGCTGCCAAGAAACAAACAGCAACTGAAGCCCCAGTTTTCTGAAACAGATTTCGTTTTGCAAAAATAGCTTTTGTACAATCAGTTCAGTTTTATTTATCGAGAGTGTTTTGTGAACCGACCACACAGACCTCTCTGGTGTTTCCAGGCCTCTGCCTACAGGGGATTCCAGGAAAATCTTTGGCAGCAAGAGCTTCTTTAGCAGCATTTAACTGGTCACTACCTCTCTCTCTCAGAGCATAGCTGTTCCAGATAGGTCCAGACAGATGTGAGCAAGCTCCACCCATGCTCTGAGTTGGCCAGAAAGAAATGAAGTCCGGTCCAGAAGTCACAAAGCCATGTTAGTGGACAGCGGTCCGCATTAGTGGAGAAAAGGGTCCAAACAAATAAGCCCCAACAGACAGCAAGAGAGGCTAGTTCAGCCCCACTAACAAGAGTATGCAGTCACTGGATTACACCAGCACGTCTCGAGGGTGGCATGTAAGCCACATCTGTCTGAATCCTTTTGATAACAGGATGCTCTTCAGTCAAGCCTCTCCCATAACTTGCTTTCTGATAATGCTTTGAAGACTTCTTTCCTACTCTACAGTCCTCTAACACAAAACTCCTCTCTCTAGTTCTGTAGTTTTTTTTTTTTTTTTTTTTTTCAGGCACAAACTCTAAAGGGAAGGTCTGGTTTTATGTGAAACTCATCTGTACTGAAATTACAGAACCATGACCTCAGTTCAGGTGCCTGAACAATACTGCACTACATTTCAGTAACAGTAATAAAGGCTGGATGAAAGAGCAGGAAAAAAAGAAAATAAATTCAGCAACTTGCAGCCTGCTTGTGTTTGGATTGAATGATCACAGATATAATATGTCTTCCCAATTCAGCATATGTGCTGCATCACACCTCTGTGTTTTAGAAAAGGCACATTTAATGTGTAATAGCTATCCTGTTATCTCTTTTAAACTTTGTAATTTGTTGAGATAATTATTCCAGCAGCAGTCAGGCAAATACAATCGTGGAGATACAAACTCTGCAACATGCTGTCTAGGAATCTCTTTCCATTTCAGAAAGAAGGACCTTGCATCATGCAGAGGATGCACTTGTTGTCAGGACAGCTGAGCCTAATTTTTGGTGAGGCATACAGACCTGTCTGCAAACACTGCTGCCTGACAATGAAGACAGAGGTAAGATCTCCTTAAAATGCAAAGGATGTAGATTACACCCCTGTTTTAGAAGAGCAAAGATTATGGTACAGACCTGTGATGAATCAGAGGCCTTCTTAATGTGTCAGAGACACAGCACAGTTTCTGAGAGTAAGCACACATACCAGAGAGAGGACAACCACTTGCCTTAAAGGAAATAAACGTATCTCCAACATGTACAAAGGGTTAGGATTATTCTTGATAGAAAGTAAAGCATGCTTGAAGATGGTAACTTAAAAACTGTTCAAAACTCTGCTTTTACTAGAGACGATTTTGCACTTCTACATTAATGCTGAAGGTGAAAGAACCAACCAAAATGACCACATAAACTTCAGGTCTTGCTGAAACATGGGGATAGTGTTCTGCAAAACACTGGGTTTCCGTTGGTGTCTATGCGGTTTTAAGGAGTAATATTCTTAGCTCTTCTGGACAGAGGATAGTATCTTTTATTTCTTTTCCATGTTCTAATTTACATATCGAAATCCTGGAATCTTGAGTCATTTTTCAGTTTATTTGGAGCAGAGCTATAGATACTGCAGGGTAAATTTTGTAAAACGTAAATAGATACTGGTAAATTTTGATCCCCAGTGAGCAATACTTATAATCAGAAATGAGGCCAGCTGCTTGAAAGGTAATGTACATGATCTACAACAAATTAGGGCAAACAAAAATTGTACCTCCGTATTGCTGTCAAGCAAGAAGTAGAAAACATGTATACTTGATTGGAAAACAAAGGAAAGAAAACAGTGTTCTTTAAACAAAAGAGGAGTGGGTGGTCCTATATCCCTACTAAACACAGCTGACACTACTGAAAGTAAACCCTACATATCAGCCCTCTCACATGTGTGATGTGGAGGAGGTGCTGCCTTTCTACACCTTTGAAATACTACAGAGGGTGAGTGCTACAGTAACAATTACTCTGTTTCAAACTTTAGGCTTCCTGCATGAGCACAGTCTGGGGAAAAAGTAGCTGATTTTCCTGAACATTATTCACCCAATACATCACGATCTCTACAAGATGGCTCTATTTTGCCAAGCTTCCTGCATCAAAGTGCAGGGTTTACTCCCACGACTAAGGTGGAAGATGCGTAAGTGTTCTGCTAGATTACAGGATGTGCGTATTTCAACATTTCTGTGTGTGTGCAATAAAGGAATAGCCAGTGAAGTCAGACAACGAGGTTCAGTTGGTAATGCAGTAGATACACAAAGTCACCCTCACTGACAAAATATTTCAGGAGCTCCAACAGGAGCTTCCTCTGAGCAGAATCAGCAAATTTAGTCTGGGCCGCGGATGTTGCTCAAGTGCTGTTGAAGCATCTTTACTAAATCTCCAGTTCTCATGGCTAGTGTATACCTTGCAAAAAGCAGAAGATGCTGTATATTCATAAATGTACCTGCTTTTTCAAGCAACTCGCTTTTTAAATCTAGGAACATAGTTGAGTCCAAGTGTGAATGCATAAATTGGTTTACTGAGTTGCATATGATTTCCAGTTAAATTCAAGGGAAATACACACCTCTGAAGTGGGATATAACCACCGTTGAGAAGTCTTCTCCATGTCAATGTTATTTTTATTTTATACATTATACTGCTGTGTATACTGTGGTTAACAATGACTTCTGTTTTCAGAATTACTCACATAATATCTCTCACAGTCAGCAAATCTTTGGTAATTTGGGGGCTTTAGTTCCATTGTGTATGGGTTTCTTTACGTCCACAGTTTTAATTTGCAGTAAAAAAAAGCAAGAACTTTGTGTGAATAATTAGAATCCTAAGCCTTAGGACTTTGAACTAGCTGCTGGAGTTTAATTATGGTTTCCTGACAATTGTGAATTAGCAAATAAATGAGAGGAGTGCAGGGTAAAAAGGGAAGTCCCTCGAAGTCCAAAATGCACATGACAATCAAGGCTGCAGCATCAATACTGCAGCATACTTAGCATAATTGTCTTCTGTTTGGAACAATGGCAGTACTAAATAGTGAATCATTTTTCACTGTTAACTCCTTTAATATTTAAAATCACAGTGTTCTAGGTGGATCTAGCCATCTTACTCATGTATATATGGTCACAGTTATTATTGTCACTTCTTTTTCCCTATAATTCCTCCTAAATAGTAGGGGTGATTTCCTCTCCATTACCGCATGCACAAAAGCATCAGCACACTGTGGATTTGAAAGGTCCTCAAGAGGAACTTGTTAGAACTGAAATGGGTTCTTCCTATTTTTAAACTAGATTTCCCAGAAAAAGAAGAAGAAGAAAAAAAAAGGTTCTTCTCATAACTTGTGTGCCACAGACATGCAAAGAAAAAGTCACTTGTGTTTCCATGGCTGGATTCCAGAGTCCTGCCAAAGCATTCAGAGCGGGCTGAATGGTATCTGCACTATCTGCACTGACTCTCAATGTCTGATAACAAATAGGCCAGTGACAGCGATTAAGGGCCTACTGAAATAATTAAAAAAAAAAAAAAAAGATTTAAAAAAAAAATCATTGACTTTAACAGTCCTTGGAACAAGCTCAAGTATCCTCTTCTGACCTCCTTCAAGCCATCTGGAAACATGGCTTATAACCTTGTCTCTCTCTGCAACTCTGCAGACCAAAGATCTGATATTCAAGTCAGGGTGGCTGGAGGTGAAAAGTTAGCAGTTCTAAAGTCAGACCACTTTTTTTAATGCTAAAACAGGAGAAGATTAGAATTATGACTTTAGACATCCGATTTCTAGAATGTCAGCGTATATTTCTGTAGCAAAATACACTTGTCTGTTGCCAATGACAGTTCTCTTCAGCAAGTTCTTGTACTTGCTATTATGTATTATTAAGAAAGCAGTAAACTAACCGAATATGACAGACCGTGCTTTGTATTGACTCTGTTAAAAGGAAGCAGAAAGGAAAGATTACCTCACTTCCACTCTGCCACAGTTCATTAATAAGATTCCTAAGTGGTTTATCTAAATGTTCAAAACCCAAGAAGTGGTTTGGTACAGTTTGCATACACAGAGAAGAGGTCAAAGTTTGACAGGGCTGAGAGCATATTTTATTTGAGGGGAAAAAAGGGATTGGAAGCGTATTGTTTTTAGACGATAGGAACAAGCAGAGCTCGGACTACCAAGAACCATGCAATTGTCCTCTGCCAAAAACAGTGATTCCACAATATGGATTTCAAGTTCCTGAGACTTTTCTTTTTTAGTACTTTCCCAGCAATCTCTTTTTTTACCCATTTTTCTCCTTCTGCTTTTACCATCTATTCCAAATCTAACCTAGCTGTTGATCATTATTTTCTTTACAAATTACAACAAGCAGCCTTGAACATACGAACTGAAAAGCAGAGATAAGGCACATCAAACATCCCCATAGTATCAGAAAGGTCTTGCATGTTTTGAGTGGTACAACCTCCATTGTCTGCAATTTCTTTTAAAGTCATGATTTGAAAATATATATACCTTACATGAGATTATGGGAAATGTTAATTTACCATTGTAGACCTTACTTATATATTAACCAATCTGGATAACTTCTCTTTAGATCTTGCTTTATAAATTATGAGCAAGAACCTTTCCCCTTTTGTGCCAATGAAGATGCATAGATTAAATAAATAAATAAATCTTTAGCTGTTCTGCAAAGCAGTACAGAGTTCGGATCATGAATTTGAGTCTCATCGGTCTTCTCCTCCTTCCCTTTTATCCGACTATCTACTGAGCTGTTTATGAAACTAAATCCATCTCTATGCAGAGGCCACCATTTAAATTATCAGTTATTTATTCAATGTCTCTTACTGTTTCTCTGATTTAATGAAAGACCTTTAACGGGGGCACAGGAGGAGAAATAAAAAAGCTGTTCACTAACCTGTCTCCAGTTAATGGCATAATGACATGTGCCTGTGTGGAAAACACGATGAATGACAATCTCATCTTGGGGCTTTTAAAAAAAGGGAAAGAGAAAAATATATATATATTTTAGACAAATGAGGAAAAAATGTACAGATGTTCACCATTCCATTCACATATTTGTGCTTTACTACTATTGCTTTTATCCTTAAATTCCAAATAACATGATTTTGAACTACAAATCAAGACCGAGAAAGGAATTAAAGAGTTTCTGCCCATGCACTCCTTGCCCAGATGCTCTGAGAATAAAGTAACAGAATTATTATTCTTTCTTGCCTGACTAGAATCCAAATTAACATGTGTTAAACTTAGAGATAAGAACTCAAGCAATCCAACTGAAAGTGAACTTTATAGTTTGTGATATACCAAACTACAAAATGTGACATGTCCTTTTATACTTCGAGTTGCTGATGTAAAAGTTGTCTGGGGACATACACTCAGGGTACATTCATAGTCTGGGGCATGAATCATGAACACATTCAGAAGTGAGTTTCCCCCTTTTAAAGTTTGATCTAGACACAATGTAAATTTTGATCTGAGCTTTCTGGTTATAAAGTCATCAAAATGAAATAAGTAGTACCCTCTGACAGATTTTCTTTTAAGTTATAAGTAGCATAAAAATGCTTTCAGAATAAGTACACTTCTATCTCAGTAACATATAATTGTGATAGCTAAAATCAACTTCCTTAAAAGTAACTACGGAAATATGCATCATAAGAAACAGTACTGCATGAAATGATTTTATTAAGGAATCTTTCTTTTTTTTTTTTCTTCTTTTTTTTTGTGGAAGCCCATCTGTCTCTTCTAACAAGACTAAGAGGAACTATATCAGACTATAGTGGAGAAAAGTGTCTCCCAAGGCATGGTCTTCAATCATGCTACCTTCCTAAGGGAATTTTAACATTTCTCTAACCTTTCTTTAATTTATACTCATGGTAATTTCAATATCTTTGCTAAACTTATAATTTATAGTGTTTGTGTATCAATATTAATTTATTGGGTTAGTATTACTGAAGACATAACACAAAGATTAATTACCATAATTTTTCAGTTCACCTGTGTTAATGATATTACTTAAAAAATAGGCATCATGGAAATAAAAGCTGCCACCCAGTAGTTCCTGCTCATAATACTTTCTGCTTGCAAGGTCCCTATCTTCTGAGATGCTCCGAAAGAAATTGAGAAATGTCAATACACTATAGATCTTGGGAATTATTAGTCATCTTAGTTGCTGCGGACAGTTACCAAAAAATGAACAAGTACTTGCAACCCAATCTCTCTAGATTATGTCACTAACTATCCCAAGTAATGTTAGACTTCTGTATTTGAGATAAAACTGTCTCATATAGAGTCACTTCAAAACTATCACCTAACTCATTGATTTATCTTTGATCAATGAAATCTAGGAAAACCATGAAACTGCCCCTTTTACAAGGCATTCTGTGCCACTCTTCCAGCAGTCAGACACTATGATGATAGCAAAGACCGTACACACATAGTTAGATCAGGTAGGTCTTTTCAGTTTAAGAAATGGTAAGGTGCCCTATTCTGAAAGAGTATCGAGGCCCAAAAGTAGGACCTTACCAACCCTCAGAGACCATCAAACTCCATGATGGAAACACCTGGGGAGATGTACAAAGAGCCAAACAGCTATCATGCCACACAAAGCTGGCTGCTCAGAATGTAGGCCAAAGTGACATACTCTTAGGTTAGACTGGCTGGCTCCTCACCAATATTAATCATCCTTGGCTGTGAAAGGTCAGAGGAGTAAATACAGTGAAACAGTTTTATTTGAAATAACATGGCCAGAGCACTGTAAAACCCAACTGTTGCAAACAGGAGTATCTTTTGGCTGCAAAAGATGAAAAACTGGACAATTTACACAGGTAAGCACCACTAGTTCAGTGCGGACAAATGTATTTTTCAGGACTTGCTGAAAAGAGGAAGAGCTTTGCTCTCAGGCTCTCTTTTTTAAAAGTTTACAAGATAACTTTCAAAAGCTTTTGTCACTCACTTGTTTTACATAAGATTTGTCTTTTACAGGTGGATGTTAGTAGTATGTAGCAATGAAAGCCTCATAATTGCTCATTACATTTCATTTTCTTTAGGAAAAAAAGATTGCAAAATCTATGTCTGTGTCTTTGCGGGGGGATTAGCTTGTTTTATTGATTTTTTTATTAAGATGCTATATCACAGTAATCCTCAGCTCTTTGTACAGAGTACAGCTAGCCAGTATTTACAACAGCAATGTCTAGCACAGCAAGACTTGCCAGACAATAGCATTAGCCAGGTACATAGCCATGGGATCATATATCATACATCCCATGTATATATACATTATACATCTCCAATATTTTCTATCTCTTTGGGCTTTAAAAGCCATAACTTAGCATTTTTTTTGAAACATATACATCTAATAACCTTACAGAAGCATGTTTTATTTTCCATGTATTCCATTATAGAAGTTACAATGCGCAAGACACACCTCACAAATCTTTCTGTCAGTTGATTGACAAAGTCATATATTTCATACCAGTTCTGTGCTACACTCCCAGATCTGAAAAGAAAAGAAAACCACGTTAGTAGGCCTTATTAAAAAAAAAATAGGCAAAGAGGGTGAAAAGTTCAGTGAGAAAATAGATAACAGGGGATAATTTGTTTTTCTAATTATTTCAGATGACCATCAACCCAGGCTCAGAGTAGCACTGGCACATGTTTTCATCAAGCCAAGATAGAGCAAAATGCACACTCAATAGCAAATCACAGTGAGAAAGCAAAACTATCTTGCTGCGAGGCCCAGCAGCAGCAATTCACGGGCCCCACAGGCTTTTCTTTTTCACCCCTGGCCCGCAAGCACCAGTGTGCTGACAGTGACCTGTTATACACAAACCCCACTATTAAAAACATGATAATCAACAGCTGTTGTGGGGGAAGGGTGGCAGATGCTGCTGATTGCTTGGGCCGACTGAAAAGTGTCCACAGATAGACTTACGGCCAGAAAATGCTGCCTCACAGGTTTTTTGCTTTCTTTTCCCTTTTTTTTTTTTTTTTTAATTTTTCCTCTTCTTCCAGAAACTTAAGTTTCTGTGAACTCAGAGCACAGGGGGAGGAAGGGACAGGAAAAGGTTAAATAAGATAAATAAAATCAAACCCACGCTGATCTCCTGCACTGCTTTGATTGCTAGTATTAATTTAAAAGAAAATAATGTTTCCGAAAGCTAAAAACTTTCTGCACCTCCTCACACCGATGCTTCCCGCGCCGACACGGATGTGGGGCCGCGGCCGCGTAGCTCGCTCCCGCGGCGACAGGAAGGGACAGGAAAAGGTTAAATAAGATAAATAAAATCAAACCCACGCTGATCTCCTGCACTGCTTTGATTGCTAGTATTAATTTAAAAGAAAATAATGTTTCCGAAAGCTAAAAACTTTCTGCACCTCCTCACACCGATGCTTCCCGCGCCGACACGGATGTGGGGCCGCGGCCGCGTAGCTCGCTCCCGCGGCGACGCTCGCGCCCCGCGTCCCCCGGGCAAGAAACTTTCCTCCCCCGGGGC